CCCTCTCTCTGTGCCCCTTCCCCATGTGTGTATATGCATGCTCTCTCTCTCTCTCAAAATAAATAAACTTAAAAAAAGTAACAGTTTTTAAAAGTCTTTTTGGGTTGGACATTTTGCTTGAGGCCAAGTGCATAGAAAATTTATCTGTCAATGATCAAAGGCATTATCATATCCCAAATCCCCAAGGTGCATTAGCCAACTAATAGTATTTCCAGATAGAAAAATGGAAAGGAAAATGCTGAGCCTGACAGAGAGAAAAGAGCCTAATAGGCTTGTGTACATACATTAGCCTTATGACTCACGATGGATTTGCGGACACCACTGCCAAGTCTATCTCAGAGGGTCCGTCATTAACACTCACTATGATCCCTACTCCCTTTTTCCCCTTCAAATTCTCTTACAAGCTTTCCAAGTAGATGCTTTAACTTAGTATTTCTTCAAGGAGGAGAGAATATAAGCAAGTTGAAGGGAAGCCAATCTAATGTTTCATTTTCTTGGCTGATTTCAATAAATACTAAGTTCCAGATTTTGTTTTATTTATGGGGTCTATCTCTCTATTAACAGAAAATGAATTAATACAGAGTCATTCAAGGGCTAAAAGGAGAATAATGAAGAGCAGAGTGCATCTTGTCTCCTTAATTAACAACAAATTACTTTCAAATTGTTTTAAGTTTTTATGTTTTTTTTAAACACCTAAGTGAGGTAACACCAGGCTAAAATGTATTGAACACACAAAAATGAAACAACTCGTAGTAAATTAATTTCATTTAGTTATCAAAATTACTAAAAAAAAAAAATTACTTTACCCCCTCTTGCTTCCTACCATCTATTAACATGAGAATCAGAGATATGACCAGAAAGGAGTTCTTTTTCCCTACATCAATAGAAAACTAGTACTACATTACCCTCATCAGGTCCAGAAAGAAAACAAACTATGGTCTCCAAATTTAAGATTTGCATGGTGGTTTCTCATTTTTTTCATATTTTCTGGAAGAGTCTATAAAAACATCACTTACAAGAATTGTTTAAACATGCTTTCTACAAATAATCCAGTGAAGAAATGGGCAGAAGACATGAACAGACACTTCTCCAAAGAGGACTTCCAGATGGCCTACAGACACATGAAACAATGCTTAACGTCAATCATCATCAGGGAAATATAAATCAAAACCACACTGAGATAACACCTCAAGCCAGTCAGAGTGGCTAAAATGAGCAAATCAGAGGACTCTAGATGCTGGTGAGGATGTGGAGAAACGGGCGCCCTCCTACACTGTTGGTGGGAATGTAAACTGGTGCAGCCCCTCTGGAAAACAGTGTGGACGTTCCTCAAAAAATTAAGAATAGGACTCCCTATGACCCAGCAATAGCACTGCTAGGAATTTACCCAAGGGATACAGGAGTGCTGATGCCTAGGGGCACATGGACCCCAATGTTCATAGCAGCACTCTCCACAATAGCCAAAACATGGAAAGAGCCTAAGTGTCCACCAACTGACAAATGGATCAAGAAGATGTGGTTTATCTATACAATGGAATACCACATGGCAATGAGAAAGAATGAAATCTGGCCATGTGTAGCAACATGGATGGAACTCGAGGGTGTCATGCTAAGTGAAATAAGTCAGGCAGAGAAGGACAGATACCATATGTTTTCACTCATATGTGGAACAGAAAAACTTAACAGCGGACCATAGGGGAGGGGAAGGGGAAAAAATAGTTAAGGAGATGGAGGGAGGCAAACCATAAGAGACTCTTAAACCCTGAGAACAACCTGAGGGCTGATGGGGGTGGGGGAGAGGGGAAAAGGGGTGATGGGCATGGAGGAGGGCACTTGTTGGGATGAGCACTGGGTGTTATATGGAAACCAACTTGACAATAAAGTATATTTTAAAAAAATCTTTTGAACATTAAAAAAAATAAGCATGCTTTCTACTATAATGTTTCCTGGTGTGGGGTAGATCATTTGCATTGCCTCTAAACAAAGCACAGACTAAAACGTTATCAGTAATCTAAAATATAGAAAGAAAGTCAGAAATTCCTACAGATCACTCTTTCTTTATAACTTATCTAGACACTAATGCTAGTTCAGAAAAGCTGGAAGGGAAGTCTATTTAAAATGGCTTCAACTAGAATGAAAAATTAGTATTTAATAATTTATCTACTTTAGCATTTTCAAGGTTGAGATAGAGAGTTTTTCACTATGTCTTGTGCATGCTCACCTTGCACTTCAGATAGAAGCTGAGCTAAGATGTTCCATCATCACCCCCATTCTTCCCACAGAAGCCCTCAGAACTGGTTCTCCATTTGCAGTACCAGTTCAGGATCCAACCAGGCTCAGTTATTTAAATGTACTTAGACTGGGGGTCCTGGGTAGATCAGTTGGTTAAGCACCTGATTTCGGCTCAGGTCATGATCTCACAGTCCTCAGGTTCAAGTCCCGCATCTGAGCTGACAGCTCAGAGCCTGGAGCCTGCTTCAGATTCAGTGTCTTCCTCTCTCTCTGCCCCTGCCCCACTCACACTTTGTCTCTCTCTCTCTCCCCAAAATAAATAAACATTAAAAATTTTTTAAATAAATAAATAACTACATCTAGACCACATCCTTCCTTCTCCTTTTTCACTTTAGCTATTTTTACTATCACTACCCTTTCCCTTCCACACTCACCCACTTTCCTACCTCTACTGCTAACATGACCCAGTATTTTAGGATCCCGAGTCTTCCTGGAGAAACCACACCACCATGCAGTCAGTCACTGTTCCAGATGCCCAGTGACAGCTGGCCTGCGGCCCTCTCTGGTCAACTATTTATATATTCATAATGAGTAGTCTCTGGCATTCCTCACAATGGCAAATCAAAACCATACACACACTGGTCGTCCTTCATTTACCCTGCTGTCCCTGCATCCTAGCCTCTTTCTCGAACAGCACACTTCTCACCTATGTCACAAAGAAATTGAAGCTTCCCAGGTGTTTTCCCTTCTGACATCTAGGCTCCTAGATCTGTCTCTCCTTTACATGGTCTTTTCTACTTGTCTAAGGTCTCTTGCCGGGGGGGGGGGGGAACATCAGCATCTCCTCCATCCCCGGTGTCTTCAATGCTTTTCTTCTGTATCCTCATATTCTGTCTACATTTACAAGACTATTACCTGGTTTCTGTCTCCACTCTACTAAAATTTTTCAGCAATGACTGCCAGTGATAACTTTGCATTGCTCCACACAAATTCATTTTAATTATATTGGCATCCTTATACTAGTTGACATAGTTGATCATTCTATTCTTCCTAGAATTCTCTCCCTTCTTCCCTCTGTGACCACATTCAGTAATGGCAATTTTCCTCTTGTATTTCAGACCTTTCCCTTTCAGTCCTCTTCCCTGATTCTCTCTTATTCATCTCCTAAATGCCCATGATATTGGGGGGAGGTGAAGCTGCCAAACCAGTAGAGTCAGAAAGTAGAACTTCAGAGCCCAGCAACACAGACAGGCCCCATGTTGCATGATGGCTAAACCCAGTGGCTTCACAGTTAAGCAAAAAACAGTTCAAATCTCTGCTCTTTCAGTTACTAGATGGGTGCTTTGGGAGAGGTTATTTAGTCTCTTTGAATACTGGTTTTTTCATGTATAGAATAATACTTTCCAGAGACGGTTGCTATGAGGAATAACTCTGATGATTACTGCAAAGTGTCTATAAATATGGCTTTCCAATAAATGACATCTATTATTATTTTATTGGTTTTATGGTTCCTCAAATATTTACCTCTGTTTTCAGAGAGAAGCAGGAGACAAAACAGTGATATGGGGAACTATTTAGGGCAGCATTATATAGGAAAGCAAGAGAAGCATTCTTGCTACAATCCAATTGAACCAATTTAACAATTATCTGAGCTATTCACCTAGCCTAATTCTCCATTAAGTTTAAGAGGCTTCCATCCCTTCCAGAGCAACAATGACTTGAATGCTTCACTAGCCCTGTTACTCAGAGTTCTTCACAGTATCCCCAGCCCTGACCCCTGCTGCCACCGCCTCAACTTAACCTCAAATCTTTATGGCCCAATGATCCCAGATTTGCAGAGTGAAAGCATATTACCGCATCATCCTATTATCTTTAGGACTATCTTTGAATACCAAAGACAGAAGTATTTAATAAAAATCTATTGAGCAAATCAACATTTTTAAATTTGTGGCAAATGTCTCTGCCTATAAGCTTGTAATTCAAAGAAAGAATGGGGAATCTAACAACTGTTTAAAGTTCTTGCTAAAGGATTATTTTAAAAGGTAATATCATATTGTCATGCAAATATAAAGCAAATGCATGTAAGAGATTTTATCTAACTTATTAATTACTGAGGGAATCAACAAGATGTCCCAACCTAGTCAAAGAAGAAACCTTAGTATACATATAGAGGTCCTGTCTGTATCTATATATAGGAATATGCAAATGAATAATCAGATAGATGTGAAACTGTCACTATCCACTTGGAAATAACTAATTAAGTTCTACCATATACAATACATCTGCATTTCTACAGATAAAATTCTCTGTATTAAAAGAGCCATGAAAGTTTGAGGACTATGAAGGGAGAAGTAACCCAAACAGAACACTCAGTTATTTTTCTTTGCTTATTTCCAAGTTTTTCAATTTTTTTTTTCTGACAGTGTATCTCTTGAAGCTAGGAAGGATTCCAATTACACAGTTTCCTCTGCTTTGATACTATACACAGAAAGATAAGTTCTAGGCGACCAAGGAGACAGATTTAGCATGTGTTAAGGGCTTCTAAAATAATATGTAGCAGTCAGAGTCTGAACAGGTTAGAGAACTCCTGATCTCTACTCCCATAGTCAATGGTTTGGACACTATGTGTTTCCATTAACGTACGTGTAATGTGGCATTTAGATTTGTTCTATTCTACAATCTTAGAGGAGACAGCCGTAATTATATAAACAGGAAAAATAAGATTCACCACTTTAGATATAACAAGAATAAGGACTGTTCTGACTTACATTTCCCTCTCATTCTTCCCCTCTTCATCACCCTTCTGAATCACATTATAAAGCTTGAGACAGGACCTCACTGGGAAAGAGAGGGGTGGAAGCTGGTGCGATGTACACTGAGCTTGCTAGAGCATCATCGTGGCATTTCCACAAGGAGTTCACAACGGAATCTTTGTCAAACCTCTCTCTGCTTTGACCCTGATGCTGAACATGAGGTCAGGGCACATGCCCCACAGTTCATCCAGCTGGAGCTCTAGAACAGGATGGTGATGTCAGTTTTGGCACTCTGCTTAAGGACAACAAAGCCTGCACCTACCGAATTACAAGAAGATACATCACAGCCGCCAGCTCTGTGTTTACAAAGACCTCAGCAATAAACACACATACTCTTTAGTAAAAGAAAACCACAGTCACTCTCATCATCGTGAAGATTAAAAAAATCATAGGTAATTTAGAAAATACAGTAAATATAACATAAGACCTCCCTCCCTTTTCTAATTGGTTAATATCACAAAAAACATATGGAAAGGCCATTTGCCCTTATTTTCCATAAACTACAGCCTTTTGTCACTTGTAGCTATAAGTTATCAACATCAGTTTTTACACCGGCCTTTGGGAAATTTTACAACCCCCATTTTAATCATAATATAGACAAGAACAAAGAATTTCGTTCTACAAGTAATTTGGGTCAGGCGTTTTTAAAATTCCCATAGCTCTCCTAACACGTCAGAAGAGGCTGCATTTTTTCTCCAAGCACAACACTGATATCTGATTTCACCATCATCCCTAAATAACAATAGCAGTCAGTAAACAGAACTGTTTCCATTCTCTTCATAAATAGCTTTCAGTTATAATCTGCTTCTTCTAAGAGACTGGATGCTCCATCTGTTTTATAATCATACCCATTAGGCATGACTCTTAAAGTTCATGTGTTTAGGTGTTTCACTGGAAAACACACTCAAGGTGAAAGGAGAAGGAAGAACTGTAAGAGAGACCACAGGCTGGCAGGTCAAACTCATTTGAACATCTGAAAGCCAGTCCTTCCTCTTTTTCATGGAAAAAAAAAAAAATCCTGTCATTGGTTTGAGACTATTGTCCTTTATTATCTGTTTCTTAAAGAAACATTTACCTTAAATGTTTATCTTAAAGATAAATGTGTAGGGGCACCTGGGTGGTTCAGTTGGTGAGGTGTCTGACTCTTGGTTTTTGGCTCAGGTCACAATCTCACAATTCTTGAGCTCCAGCCCCATGTTTGGCTCTGAGCTGGCAGCGCGGGGCCTGCTTGAGATTCCCTCTCTTTCCTTTTCTCTCTGCCCCTCCCTCATTCGCATTCTCTCTGTCTCTCAAAATAAACCTTTAAAAAAGATAAATCTGTAAATATTTAAATGAAAAATAAATCAGAAATACTTACTAATATACTGTTTCCCTGAACATACATACACAGAAAGCCTGAGAGAAAAAGGAACTTGCATACTGTTACTGAATTTCTATGAGAAATAAAAAAAAAAAAAACTGCTGGGGAAGATAGATGTACAGCTATTGGCAAATAAAGTGGAACCATTTTGCTTTTAATCATTACAGAACTGACTCAAAACCTACAATCAGTTTCAGTTCCGTAAAAAAAGGGACTTTGAAATTTTTCTCACTAATTCTTTGCCTTTCATAATAATGGATAACACATGGTAAGCATTTAATACATGCCAGACATTGAGCTGAGTCTTTTACATGCTTTAATTATTTCTAACACTTAACAGCGATTTATGAGGCAAAAATTATTAGTATCAGTATTTTTTTTCATAGATGAGGAAATTAAGGATTTGAGAGGTCAATACTTGCCCAAAAGTCACAGTCATGGGCATTCATGGCAAGTATTATCTTTCCTACATTTTGCCCCAATGACTTAAAAAACTCAGTAGTTATGGGTTGGAGATTCCCAGACACATGTAACTAGACCAGGAAATGCATCTTAGGCTCTGTGAAAACATTTCCAGCCCTTTACATGTGTCCGTAGGGTTCCAATATGCACTGCGACGTAACACGTCTTTCTGTGAGGTTTTATCATACTGTCTTCAACCCTAAAACTCTAATAAATTTTGCCTGCAAATTTTCTGGGCCCTTCTTGTGTCTTTCTCTATTTCTCTAACTACACTACAATTTCAAATACCATCCTTTTCTCATCATTTGTCATTTACTGACACAAAATTCTTTGGATATCCTTTTGGATACCCTGGTTCAACAAGTTAATGCCACAACATAAGCGATAAGGCTCCAGCGAATGTGTTGAGCAGAAGAACTCATTTGTCAAAACACTTTATACTTGTTGCTGAGGCAATATCTTAATTGTTTAAAATTGTAAGTAAGAGGAAGATAATCATCTCAAATACAAAAATAATAAAATTTTTATCTTGAAAGAGACAATCCTCTTTACTTTCTTCCCTTATCTTTCATTTTTTTCCTCTTATTTTTGGTGGGTTTTTTTTTTTTTTTTTTTTTG